TCTATAGTCATAACATTTCTTAGAGGTTTTATAGCTTCAAAATAGTGCTTTCTTGGACCATTTCTTTGGTCAACACTGTAACGTTAGTTGTGTTAAGAGTTTATATACGGTTTAAGCTGTGCTCCAAATACATTTTGGGGAGGAATTAAGCAGCAAGCAGGCAGAGATGTGTTTAATTTATTTACATTTTTGTTACCTGTTTACAGGTTATTTTCTGTTTCAAATCGAGGTACAAATCGAACCGTGATTGAAAGACCTAGGTCGGAATCAAACTGCACACTTTGTTCATCAAAAAATGTATACAAGAGATACGAATGAAATAAATGGTAACACTAAAGTCTGTCTACACTGGACGCGACAAAGCGACCGTTGAAAATCATTTGAAATTTGTGTCAGTACGTCATAAATAGAACGCAGCAGCAGTTTACTGTCGGGAATTTGTCGCGCCACGCCGCATCCAGTGTAGACAGCATAATAGGTTCTATTGTATTTTGACGCATCGCGCTGCACCACTTGCGTCCGGTGTAGACACGGTGTTAGGATGATGACTGACAAGAGGAAATCTTATAGAGTGCTTCTCTGGTGAAATTGGATTTATGGCTAATGTTCTGCATTCTCTCGTACTGGATCTTTTAATGACTGTTTTCAACTAATGTTTCATACTTGAGGTCTTTTTTTTAAATAACTCCAAACTTTTTACAAACATATTTCCAATAATGTTACCAATTGTGTTGGAGGGTTTCAGGACATTCTTCACATCCCTGTAGATAAAGACCTTTCTTCGGCTTTGCTTTGATTGAAGTGGCTTCAGTCTGTGGAACCTCTGTGCTTTTCTTTCACTGCACTAATGCATCCATTTGCATGTGTAGGAAACTTTTTCCTCATCGAAGCAGACACCAGGAGATGTTGGGACATATTTCATACAAAAGTTACTCTTTATTTTACCTTATTTGTATATTTGTATAGTTGTATTTTATATTTAATCTGTATATCTGTATTTATGTTCTACTGTTAGTGTTATCTGTATGCACCAAGGGTCTGAGAGTAACGCAATTTCAATTCTCTGTGTGTATGTGCTGTACATGTGGAAGAATTGACAATAAAGCAGACTTGACTTGACTTGACTTGACTTATTGAGGACTCGCTGTGCGTCGCTGCAGTTATCCAAGTCTGACTAGAGCTCAGCACAGTAGAGTTTATACCTTTCAAGGGGGAGGGATACATAGAGGTGGAGACAATCTAAACAAAGCATGCAAATGCAATACAGGAATCAGCCAGTTACCGGAATTTCTCCAACCCTGATCTCATCAGCATAACAGTGTCATTCAAATGCATAGGTGCTAATCCAATCAGCCTGACAGTATCGCCCATACCTCGCAGCCCTGATCTCATCAGCATAACAGTGTCATTCAAATGCATAGCTGCTAATCCAATCAGCCTGACAGTATCGCCCATACCTTCACATTGTCATAGAGACAAAGGCACAGCTGTGCCTTGAGCTTAGCATTCACTTTTAACTTGGGACCCTGCCCAATGGTCAGAAAGTGCATAAAGACAAAAGGTTAATGTCCCAGACACCTGGGCTGCCTGACTTGATCTTCTTAGAATGTCATCATCTTTACCTCCAAATGTAAAACACAATATACATAACTTTTTCAGTTTATATACTATTACATTGGAACCTAGATATAACATTTAATAAATTTGTAATCCAACAGTTCCCCCTTTGAGAGTTTAGACACTTAAAAGTTCATTCTTGTAACCTGTGATCGTTACAGGCACATAGCACTTGCTCTGTGTTGATTGTCTGTAGTGACGAACGGCATGCTGACACAGAAACAAACATGTAGCTAGGGTCCGTGAAGTTCTTACGGGTAATAGTCTTTTCTGGTTGGAACTGTCATTTCCTCGTGAT